ATAAACATCACAGGTTGCATGATTCAAAATTTGGCCGAGAGGAAGTTTGGGTCTGGTCACTGACAAAAAAAATAATAAACCACGGGTAGAACATGAACCGCGCTTGGCCCATGGCCACGTGGTTAATTACCAGCAAGCTTAATTTAGACGCTCTCAGGGTGCTTGGAATAAAATTGCAATGCACTTTACTAAGATTCTCATAATCATAGCCCTCACTAGAAATAACGGTTGCACGAATTTCAACAGATGGGGAAATTTTCTTTCAAAAAAGGTTAAGTTTGAGGTCCTTTTTACTTGGCCGCCTATTTTTTACAGGCGAAAACCTAAGCAAAACAATTTTCGAGTATTTGAAGAACTTAATTTCTTTGATTTGTGGAATTTCTTTGATTTTCTGGATTCTGATTTTTGGTTCCGGATTCCGGATTCCGGTTTCCTGGTTTTAGGGTTGCTCCATCTTTAACAGTGTGGTTGCTTTACATTCAGTTTACACATGGCTGTTATCCAGCACAGGCAGACTTATAAGTTTGCCTTCAAAAATAAATTGCAACAGCTATTGCATCTTTCATTACCTATTCTTGTGATGAAATGACACAAAATCCAAGTACAAGAGTCAAAAGCATAAACCAAACTTACCCGGTAATGCTTACAGTTCCTCTTACTGTCTGCATATGCCGTCCATAACTGGTACTGCCTGGACAATGTACTCATTATTTTTTTGATCACACCTTTTAAAACGTCACTGTTATATAATTTGTCCTGAAAAAGCAATACATCAAATGTTATGCCTTTGGCACTCACCAAATACCTTTACATGATGTACAATGTACACCATACCAACATTCACAATTCTTTTTACTTTTACTGTAACTTTTTTTGTCATTTTTCCTTACTTGAAGACAGGGCTTCCACATTAGGTGATAATTTGCCTCTGGAATCTCTATGAATTCACAGGGAGTGCTAACAATTAAATCGTGACTAATTTTAACAAAGGAGGCGTTCAAATGTCAGATTTTAATGTCTCTAACTTTACATTACTCTTCGTACGTAAAAAACCTCTCAATTATTGCACCTGTAGACAGGAGGTGTACCGGGGGAAGAGATGTACTAAACTTTCTGAACTTTTCTCCCTTACCTGTAATAAGATGACTATTATGAACTACGACTCGCAGCCAACACCAACATCAGGTTATGTATACACATGTATATTTTGTTGCCTTCTGTAATCATAAAAAAAATAAAAATTTAAAACCCTCCATAAAGTTCATACTCAATAACACTGCTACATGTAGCATTGTTACTGGAAATTAATTTAAGTGAAACTGTTGAAACAGCTCTGTCAAAATTGTTTCTAGCAGTTAAGGCAGGATAACAGAATATACACGTAGTACACAGCAAAGGCCACACATATACACAAGTTGGTTATTACTGTAGTTAGGATTTGGTGAGCTTCTGTGCTAGGTATGGTGGAAAATAATGGACTATCAAAAATGAAGGTTCC